CACATATACTGTATGTGTGTGTATAAATATATATAGTAGGGCTGCAACGATACAGAAAATTCACGGTTCGGTTCGATACTTTAGTCTCACGGTTCGATATTTTTTCGATACAAAAAAGAGAAATGTCCATGCCCCTTTTAACTTGTAATTTATTTAAATTAATTATGAGCATTTGTTTAACCTCAAAAGTACAGTTTTTTAATTAAATGTTGCTGAAACAGCAAGTTTCACAGTGGATCTGCGCTCAAAAATACAGCCTAGGTGGAGTAGTCGAACACAGATCCACTGATCCTTCAACACAGAGCATCTTCAGTGGTCTCTCTTCGTGTGACAGATTTAAGTGACTTAAACAACAACAATGTAAATATTCAGCCAAACCAAACCTCAGAAAGTCTAAAGAACTGCTGATCAAGACCACTTTCATAGATTACAGGAAAGTCTGGTTGCTTGAAGGAAAAAAGAAAAACAGGAAATGACCTTCTCACATTTGTTAAAGCATATGTATGTGTAGGTGTGTTTCCATGTTTTTTTCAGCTGTGATGCTGAAAAATTGGACTTTATATATGTAGAAAAGGAAAAAGGTTGAATGCAAAGTTTACAGTTTGAATCTTTCGAGGTGTTGTTTCTTATTTCATAAACACAACCTTCCAGTTACTGTGAATTAGGACCCATATGTTTGTCAGTGTGTGTGTATGAGATGCAGCTAAAATGGAATCCACCAGAGTTAACATTAATCAGAAAATGTGAAAATACTGTGAAAAAGCCCAGTTAGAGGAAGTCATCTGTACAGGTTGGTTTTGGTGCTCGTTGGTCCGAACATGGCTCTGTTCTTATTGTTGAGTGATTTTCATTTGGAGTTAGAAATGAGGAGTCTGTAGAAGTTCATGTCTCTCATTATCACTTTGCTTTTGCTCATCCTGTTTCTAATTGTCTTATTTTTCTTGTTTTGTTTTTCCTTCTGTCTTTGTTTTGTTGTTTTTCATTTATTTTTTTGTACATAACCCTTCTTTGTATCATTTCATTTGCTTGTAAGCTTGCCTGTCATTTGAAATAAAAGCAATAACTGCACCAAAAACAACCTATTTTTGCTGCAGTAAAAAAAAGAAAAACCTGTTTTTGTTTCCGTGTGAGAATTCCTCCTTAAAATTTCCTTATGGATTTCTTAACCAGTACATGATTTTTACACTTTTACATACAGTACAAGCTAAGGTGTCAATCTTCATGTGTTGCCAAGCTGAGGAAGTGTTGATGGAAACATGGTAACACACACACTCCCCCTGCAGATGGGTTAAATACAGCATCCAGAGGAAGTCATTAGGAGCAAACAGCACTCAGCAAGAGCCCAAACTTTTAACCTCACAAAGCTTCCCCACCTCATTTTCTCCTCACAGTACAGCTTCTCATCCCTTCCTGCTTTGGTTTTAATCTCTTCTTTAGCCCTCATTCTAAGGGTGCTTTCACACCAGGAAAGTCCTTTGGTCCACTTGATTGGTCTGGACCAAAGGTGGACTTTAGGGCGGTGTTGAGAATTTGTTTGAATTTATGATTTGGGACATTATAATTCAATATAATGTTGCTAATTTGAGTTGTAACTGTTCTTTCATAAAGACTTGGTTAATATCTGGTTCTAAGCAGACAATATTGTTGATCTTTTATAGAAGAGACTCTATATCCCATGATGCTTTTTACCGGAAGTGGTTTTTTTTCTAAGGAGAGCACTATTTTTTTATTGCTTGTAAACTCTGACAATCGGTCATAATCGTTACTGTGATCCTTTGTTTTACCCTTTTATTCACTAAAGTTCATCTGAATATTGATCACACTTCTTGTCGTTTTTTTGCATTAGTCGTATAATTACAACATGCGGTTTGCATTCGCATTGGGCTTTTTTTGCAAGCAGACTGAAAAATAAATTTTAACGTTTTTCGTTTACCTTAGTATGTGTTTGTAACCAGAAAGAAAATACATCAATATTTGAATGTGAAAATAATTCATACAACTACAAAGCACGCTGAACGAATCACAGGATTTATTGCTGTCTCCATCAAGTAGGGCTCTCTGCAGAACGTGTTGTCCTGTGGGCGGAGACGGCCCAAATCGTCATTGGCCGAGGTCTTAATGTGGGCGGAGATGTCCCTGCTCGTGATTGGCGGAGGTTACGACGTGGGCGGAAATGGCCCAAGAGATGTGATTGGTCAGATTGACGGTGGGGTTTGAGGCCGGAGGCAGCGGGGAGTAGCTTGGTCGAGTCGGGCAGGAAGTAACACTTTTTTAAATTAATTTTAGTCATAACTTGAGAAAGGAAAGTGCTAGCTGCACGAAATTTGACCATCATACATGTGAAAGGATGTGTAACAATATGACTTGGTTAAAACATCCCTAACAAGCCTGTAAGAAGATAGCTAAAAATCAATATTTTTTACAGGCTGATTAGGGATGTTTTAACCAAGCCATATTGTTACTCATACTTTCACATGTATGGTGTTCAAATTTCGTGCAGCTAGCATTTTCCTTTCTCAAGTTATGACTGAAATTAATCTTAAAAAACTTTGCTTCCTGCCCGACTCGATCAAACTGCTCCCTGCTGCCTCCAGCCTCAAACCCCACCGTCAATCTGACCAATCACGTCTCTTGGGCCATCTCCGCTCACATTGAAACCTCCACCAATCATGAGTAGGGCCGTCTCCGCCCACAGGACTAAACCTACTGCAGAGACCCCTTACTCTTCTCCATGCATTCAGCAAAGGATTCAGGAAACAATAATACTTTTATAACCTACTTCAGGACCTGCCTATTGTCATTGAATCATTCAACTTGTCCAGCCTACAGCTGTTCTACTGTTACAACGGTTCAAGTGTTGAAAGTGTGTTCAGGCATGCATCTTACCTATATGTACCTCTGGTTCTGTGTAACCATATTTGACAGTCATTCAGACCAGTGTGTACATAAAATCATCAATGTAATCACAAAAATAATCACGCAGTCAATATATCATTATTCACCTAAGAAAAGACTACAGAATGTGTGGTGCTTTTAAAAATCTGTAGTAAACAAACCCCAATAAAATTCTTCAGGACTCAGGATTTTATTAATAATTTATAAACAAAGCCACATGGGGGACGGTCATTGCTCCCATTGGACAACTGAATTTGATTCAATTGAACTGAATTGAATTGAATTCAATTCAGTTCAATTCAATTCAGTTTATTTATATATCAACAAGTGACAACATACGTTGTCTCAGGACACTGTACATAAAAAGAACAATGTAAAGAAGAAAGCAGCAGATNGCTCAGGACAGGAGACCATCTGCCTCGACCGGCTGCTTGGAGGACAGGAAAGAGACACAGACAAACACAGAAGAACTGGTCCAGGACTGGTCCAGGACTGGAGACCATCTGCCTCGACCGGCTGCTTGGAGGACAGGAAAGAGACACAGACAAACACAGAAGAACTGGTCCAGGACTGGTCCAGGACTGGTCCAGGACAGGAGACCATCTGCCTCCACCGGCTGCTTG